CCACGTAGACGGGCGCATACACATACCTTCAAGGCCTATCGCAACCTAGAATACGAGCCCTAACCGCTCTCGAAAGAGTGCCGCACCCCAAGCGCCGGGAGCGTCGTCGAGAATGAAAATGACGTGAAATGGCGGGACGAGGATACGGACGGACTCGTATGTGGCGGGGTGGGGAATGGGAAGGGGTAGGTGGGGGGGGCAGCCAGGAATCAGCGGCGAGTGACCTGCTGTTGTCGGACAGGTGTATGGAGATGCGATGCGTTCAACGCGGGCATAAAGTCGCCGGTCGGTCGTGCCCGCGCGCCGAACAGCTGGTTCGCTTTACGGATTCGCTTCGGCCCACGAACGAGTCTGACATAGAGAGAGAGAGAGAGAGAGAGAGAGAGAGGGAGAGAGAGAGAGAGAGAGAAATATAAAGATAAAGATGACGATTCCTGGCGGCCTAAAGGGAGTTTTAAGAAGGGCTAATTAATGAGGACAAAGAGGATGAGAGAGAGGTGACATTGGCCGAGGCGCGCTCGCGCTCGCACTCGACGCTCTGCTAGCTATTTTTTCAATTTCCTTAATAATTTATTATTGGCTGTTATTGGCCGAGAGAGTGGGTCCCACCGATGGCCCAAAACACACGCCTCGATTAATAATGCATATAATGATTTTTATCAGGGAGCCTCGTCGAGCCCGACGTTTTACGTGGACGGATTATTCGGTCGGGCGTAAATTGTATTCTTCGGATACTTATTTAGTCATGCCGAGCTCCCTATTAGCAGATAAACTTTTCGTATCCCTGGCGGTGGCTCGCTACGCCTGCATTTAATTATTTGTCAAATAAATTACTTAAACCCTGATTTCTTTTTATACATAAACACGGCCGTAACTGCGGTTCTTTTAATGGCACTGGGAGTTTCGAATGTTTCGTGCATGCTTAATACGTGCTTTATTTCCTCGTTGGTAAATTTCCAACCGAGCCTACTTTCACGCTAATCAAGATCAATGTATATCAACATTTTATTAACTCTATAAATTACAATTTCCTAAATCCATAATGAAAGGAAAAAGTAACAAACTAACGAGCAAACATAAACAAAAATACAATGAAAAATAGAAACATAAAGAAAAATGGTAATTAAAACGATCCAAGGACATTGTTTCGACGTGGCTTTCCTTTTTCAAACGCCAAGCTTCTTCTTTTTTTTCTTTTTTTCTTTTTTTCGCTTCTCTGTCTCACCCCTTCTCCTACCCCCCCCCCCTCAAACCCAAACCCAAACCCAATCCCTTCAATCTCTCTCATCATCACCCCTCACCGTCACCCCGTTCCCCGTAATGAGCAGCAACGCGATTGCGCCTTATTCCCATGGCATTATTGTCAAACATTCACAGATCCAAGGCGATGCTGGACTCTAGAGCCGTGGGCCCCGATAAACGGTCGATCCGATCGATCAGTTCCCGGTCCCGGCTGAACGCGCGTTTTTTTTTTTTTTTTTAATTTTCAAGATGCGTGATCCAACGCGTGCGGACCTGGACAAGAGCGAACGTGCCCACGGAATCGTCCGCCCTCCAATGTAAATGGTACGGCGGAGGTGGAGAGGGCAGAAGGAGCCCTTGCCAACACCTTTGTCCATTAAATCGGTCGTAGGAAAGGACGTGGAGACAGGCATATATGAAATAAATACGGGGCCGTGGATCGAGCGAATCTACCCGACCACTCGTTTCGATCACGATTTCACTCCACACTCCTACTTTTAAACGCTTAAACAATTATTTTAATGCTAAATGTGATATCCGCGATAATTTACATAAGCGCGCGGCGGCAAAGCTGCCGCGGTCTGCCGATGCAAAGTCGAATTATGTAAAGTACATATAAGCGAGTGGCTTACGTAATATTGACAAAGCGTAATTATTAAGTGAAGTGAGGCCGCGAGAACGCTTTGTGAAGGAAAATCTTTTCCTCGTCTATTTAACGCCAAGCGCAAACTTTCAAACGAGCCATCCCGTTAAAACTACCCAACGCACCCACGAAACAGCGTTTACCACGTGACATTCGCATCGCATCGCATCGCATCGCATCGCATCGATCGATCGTCAGTTAACGAGATCCTTCCTAACTAGATCAAGCGCTTCGTTTGCTCAGCGACAGTTTAAAAGATCGTGAATATCGTCTGCCCCTCCCACTTGACGCACGAAAACGACGAACCTCATGTTTCACTCGTCCTATAACGTTTGAAGATATTTATTAAAGGTTGCTGTCCCGGGTACTGGGTACTACTTCTCAAGTGGCTACGTAAGACGAGTCTTTCCTTCCTACTAATTCGAGACACATGACGCTAGTTAGTGGTAGTAGTAGTAGTAGTAGTAGTTATAGTAGTAGTATTAGTAATATTAGCATTCAAAATTCGTTGAATTATTTATCTGAAACGTAATTGTGCATGTTATCGAATTTTTTTCCAATGTAATATTGGCCTTGGTAGGACATCAAACGTACGTGTTAAAATATAAATGTTTTGAAAATTCATGTCTACGGTTGGTGGGGAGATTCGCTCCAAATGTGACGTTTCATTGCGCAATTAATAATCGTTTCCTTCTAGTGTCTCGTAATGTGTGAGGGTGGGCGCGCGAGGGCCGGGGAGGTGTAAAGATGAAAAGGAGTCTTAAGGCCTTCCATCTCAAGAATTTGCCACCAAATGTCACGATACGTAATCTTCAAGCGGCAGATGGCAATATCTCACAACGAATTATCGGCCAACGACAGGAGCGTAAATGCTAATTCGCCAGCGTAAGGACATAAGAAGCCTTGTAATGGCAATGGGCGAAGGAAGGAGTTACACACAGCTAAATCCGCGAATTGCGCGTATTGGTCGTGCGTAGGACCGACTGACCGGCTGAGCCCCTCGACCGACGCTCCGGGAATGAGCGCCGCGGTCCTTATCTGACGACGGCCGTGCTATTGTACGGTCCCCTCGCCCCGCCTCCCCTCCCCGCGGCGCTGAGCGAGAGGCCGAGACCGATGGGCGGAGTTTGTCCTCGCCAATCGACGATTAGCGCCGCCTCCGCGCGATTTGCCCCCGCGAGTCGAGGTCGGAGTGCACGCTGTCTATCCCTCTTCCTATTCGCGCGCTCGTTCTCTCTCTTCGCTCTCTCTCTCTCTCTCTCTCTCTCTCTCTCTCTCTCTTTGCACACCTCTCTGCGTCTCTGCACCTCGCTGCCTGACAGCCTCTTACGATTGCGTCGCCGGCGAAATGTCGGAGAACAGCGCAATCCGAGGTAGACTCCCCTTCGCGACTACTTAAACTTCATTGAATTTGGGTAGAGTCGTCATTATCATTTCTTCTTTTATTTTTAAAATTTTTTTTCTTTAAGCGCACCAGCGTAATTTAATAAAGATGTGTCGTTGAAGGTTACCCCTCGGAGCGTCATTTTCTCTAATTTGTTAATTAGAGTTCCGCTTCGAACTCCGTATTAGCAGAGGTAAAGCGAGTGTGTAATAAGTTAAAAAAAAAAAAAAACTGAAATTCGACTCTAATGTGATGCGCTTCACCCTACTATTTCGTTCCCCTCACAATGTCTCCGTTATTCTGCTTAATTAATTACTCGATCAACCAAGCGCATACATAAAACATGATGATAATGACTAGCCTGCGGATTTCGTTACTCTTAGTTTCTTATCTTTATAGTATAAACATTGTTTGGAAAAACTCCGTCAACTTATGTAATAGCTCGTACAAAGTATTTTGATGTAATCGCATGATCCATTGATTGAACCTGATCCTTCGTTTCATGCTGGCCCGCTTATCAATAAAATCTCCACGACACGATGAAGTATATCATGAAAATTGTTTTGGGATAAAGAAAGAAAAAAGTCAAATAGCCAGAAACACGCGTAATGTCGTGCAACGGCAAAACCATAAACACAAAACATATGTAAACAGAGGCGTGAGTATGGCAAATGTTAATGAGATATCACTACTGCCACGCCAACCTGCCCTTTCCCCTCCTATCGTCCATCAACCACCATCGCTAACTCCGACCCACCACCCTCGCTCCTATAAACAGTCCGTGAAAACGTCGTTTACATCTTACTAATATCGCGGGGTTGACCCGTATGCTCGTCAACAGGGGGTTATCACCACCTACGCAGTCCGCCGTGCAACCAGCAGGAACAGCAGGACAGCCGACGGCGGGAGAGTTCGCCCCCGACTCACGGACAGCCGACGCAGACGGGCAACGGTGGCACCGCCGGTTCCCAGCATCAGGCTGCGACACCCGGTGCCGTACTTGCCACCCAACCCCCGAGCGCCAATCCCACCGTCCCCAACAACAACAGCAACAATAGCAGCAGCAATAGCAGCAACAGCAGTAACAATAACAACAACAACAACAACAACAACAACAACAATAATAACAACAGCGTTCACAACAACAATAATAACAACAACAATAATAATAATAACAACAACAATAATAACAACAATAACAACACTACCAGCAACGCCTACATACACCTGCGGAGCCTCAATCAGCTCAAATCCGAGCGTAAGTATCATCCTCTCTTTGTCATATGTCAACTTTATTTGGGAACGACGAGGCACGCGACCGTGACTGATGCGCGGCTGTCGTACCGATAAGCGAGTATTTATATAATATCGCCGACACTTAACTCGGCCCGTCATCTCCTTTCGCGGACGTGTCCGACAACGTAAGTAAATATCCGGGCGCGCGACAAGCGTCAAAGTCCAGAACGTCACAAGCCGCGGCACTCGACATTTCATAAACGAACATGAAGTCTGGTCCCGTGGGCCACACTCGCGCCTGCGCCATGGGGTTCGGCGACGGGACAAGCCGCGCCGCAACTTTCCATTTCGCTCCATCGTAAAAACAATTAACTCGATCAACTAGCCCCAGGGTACGAAGCTCGAGCCCCCCCCCCCCGTCCTCCACCACGCCACCGCCAAGTTCGAGGAAAGTCTCGAGATACGAGACGAGCATGTCGTTGATCGTGTCGTGGGTCTCTGTCCACAGCGAGCTACGGGAGTCATCAAGCGAGCACCGAGGCCCACCTCCAGCCGAGCAACGGCGGCGACCTGGCGACGAGTGGCGGCGAGGTCGACCTGCGAGCCACGGCCGGAACCGGCGCCGAAGGCTACCTCAATCCGGCTCACTACTCCGGCTACGAGGAAGCCGCCGATTACCACGGTCTCGGCCAGGATCACCACCCGCCCCACCCCTATGGTCTCGAAGGCTCGCCCGAATTCTACGGCCAGGGCGGCATCCAGCTCGAGCCCAAATACCAGCCACCGCCGTTCAAGAATTACCCTCGCGGTAAGTATCTCGCCATCGAACGTGAGGGCCTCTCCCGCGCGTGCCCCGATCGCGGGGACGATATCTTCGATTTATGGGGCCCTTTTCTAAGGCGCCTCGCCTACTAGATTATCATAGGCACGTGGTGTTTTGGTATTCCCTTGTGTTTGGAAATTACCAAGGACCCACGACGAGATGTACGATTTACGTGCGGGACTCTCTCGAAGAGGCCCCGTGCGCACATCATCGTTTTAATTCCTAGGCGCGTCCCGGACATAGCCGAGGGAGGCCGGATATCTTAATTTTTTCTTTCTTTTTTTTCCCCCAAAAACATACTCGCAAGATTACGAGGCATAATAGTATAGGGGACTTTCTTCTTCGTCCCATCAGCGCTTTCCATCTCCCAACGAATGAGGCAATTTGAATTTCAAAGAGCCACGCGCTCTTTTCTTTTACCAAACGAAACGGAACGAAGCTTTAATCCCTACGACCTTATTCGATTATATTAATGGGCCTCGAATTAATATAGATCGTCGACAATGTCCAAGGTTACTTAAATTAAACACGCTCCTGTCGTTCTCTTATCGTAATCATTCACATTTTGCCCCAATGTCTCCAATACACGTTGGCACTTTCCAAGATCGGCTTTATTCAAACGAGCTGTAAGTTCACGATGTAGCATTACGTAAAAGCTTTTTCGAAAATTCTGACACGCGTATCTATAATGTCCCCAGGATGGAGAGAAAATAGATAGTGCAAGTAGTTAATCGGATATAGGACATTACGATTAGATTCTCCAGTGGCTTTAAAATCATGTCAAATTATCTCCTCCGATGATATTCAACGTAAAACGACTTATAATGAAACATTGAAACTTATTATACACTGAGAGATAGATAGATAGAGAGATAGAGAGAGAGAGAGAGAGAGAGAGAGAGAGAGAGAGAGAGAGACATTGTATTTCATTTTACGCTAAACAAATCACATTATATTAAATGAATTTTCTATCTCCAACTTACTAATCGTTCCTTCAAATATCATAATAATAACAATAATAATTGCCGTAATTAACAAACACTTTATTTACCCCCACGGTAATATCCTATGGGACTGAAAACAAATGTTTTCAATCTCCATAAATAAATATTGCAGGGCATCTTTGGGCCATTCAAGCACGGGAATTGAAAATAAAGTTTTCTTTCAAGAGTCATTTTTCCTTATTATCCTGTGTGCGGATATTTGCCAAGTAACGAGAGAGACGCGCGGCAACCTGCATTTACGAGAAATAATACGAAAAGTCCCGTCGCTCATTATTCAAAGGTCCCCTCGATGAAATTCCCTTCCAGTCCCATGAACAATGCACGCATTGAAATTCGGCGAGCATTAGCATTCATTCTTCATTGTTTGCGCGCGCGTATCGCATCGGCATAAGATAAGGATAATCGTCAGGATAAAGGCCAGGCTAAGGCAACTCGGGCGACGCACTCGCTATGCGTCGCGTGACACAGTTCCTCCCCCCGCCTATCTAAATCCCAAGAAGCGAAACGTCGCCTCGAGGTCACAGATTAAATGTCAATTGGGCGTTTCAGGTCGCTACCACGAGAGCTACGGCGAGAGCGGCTACGGCCAGTACGACGCGACGCCCTTCCAGACGGTGCCAGGTAGCGCGGGACCCGGTGGAGCTGGTGGCGCCGGGGGCGGCGCTGGTACTGGGGGCGGGAGCGTCGCCGGGGTCGGCGAGCAATGGGCCGTTGGCCCCGTGGCCGATCACCTCGCCCATCACCCGGCCTTCCTCGCGGGCCTCGGACCCCGCGACACCACCAACTCCTCGCATCACCCTTCTTCCATCGGCAATCAGAATCCGGAGCACCAGAAGCCGCTGTTGCCCAGTGCCATGCTGGCCGGCTACACGGGTCAGTTCCAAGATTCTCACTTTACGGGTCGAACATTGCAGTCGCATGTCGAAATTGACGGCCCCTCAATCCCTCTCCTCATCTCCTTCGGCTTTTAATCCTTTAAGGGCTACGGGCCAGCAGCCTGCCAATTACAATTGATAATTCAATATGATACTTCGTGTGGGTCTTGTGGAAGGGGGAGGGATTGAGGAGGGGTGAGGTGGGGAGGGGCGAGGAGGGGAGGAGAGGGAGGGAGGGAGGAAGGGAGGGAGCACACACACTCCTTCGACAATTGTATAACGCCCATCATATATTCAATTTTAATGCTCACTGGGGCTATCAATCTCCGATATTTAAATGGGTTTTTAATTTTTGCCGGCAATTTAGCTACGCTCGGAATAATCACGTAGACGCACTCCGAGCAAATTACGAGATCGGAATTGCGAGTTTGTTCTTTTCGTTTAACATGGCAGAAGTATGGAGATACGGGAGTGATATAATAATAATAATACCCGCGCGTCAAGTCGGCTTCTTTCATTATTCGTTTCGTATGTGTGCGTAGCCGAATGTACCGGGTATGTGATGTGAGTGGTCGTAGTTAGTCTTGAGGCACGATGCATTGTCTGACATTGAAAAACCGAACGACTAACGGAAAATTATCTGTTCGCGATTGGTGGGTTGCGGTTAAACTCACTTTCCCTCCTCTTTTCATTTCTAATTGCGTTTTAATCGCGTTTTAATAGTCTCTTAATCGACTGCGCCATTCAAGCGAGATATTGAACGAGAGAGAGAGAGAGAGAATGAGAGAGAGAGAGAGAGAGAGAGAGAGAGAGAGAGTGATAGAGAGGCTAAATAAGTTATTTTTACGTGAGCGCAGGAGGTGGGCCCTGCTTCACGGGCTCGGGTCCCATTCAGCTTTGGCAATTCCTACTTGAGCTGCTTACCGACAAGAGCTGCCAAGGCTTCATATCATGGACCGGCGATGGCTGGGAGTTCAAGCTGACCGACCCGGACGAGGTGGCGCGTCGCTGGGGCATCCGCAAGAACAAACCCAAGATGAATTACGAGAAGCTGAGCCGCGGGCTGCGATACTACTATGACAAAAATATTATTCACAAAACGGCCGGCAAGCGTTACGTTTACCGCTTCGTCTGCGATCTCCAGAGCCTCCTAGGGTTGGTATTACTCCGTCTGTTTTGTTTACGGTTATTCAATTAAGGGGTTATTGATGCCAAGATCGGTAAAACTTTACGCCGCCTTCTCGCGTATAATGGCAATCTTATTAAACCATTTAATATGAAATTTTGGCCATACGAGATATGCGTCCAAGACAAATTTCAATTTAATGTCAAGTACGATGAAGGAGAATTTAAAATATAAATTAATCTTGCCCACGGAGCGACGACGTTTATTATAATTAATTTTATAAGTCTCTCGACTCCGCATCGTAGCCGAGCTAACGGATAAATGTTGATACTTACATCCGTACATGCTCAAGCGCAAAGATAATCGTAATTATTGATTATCCAGTAGTCTGCCATACCGACCGTACCACTGTGCAATTCGCAACTTATGTATTACAGAACGGAATATTTCGATTGAAGGTACATGCCAAAGGCAATTAGAATTCATTTTATACGAAAGTAAGCGCAATAGTGTCAAACGTTAAGAGATCCGATAAATAAATAAAGAATAACAATCAATCGTCTGTTTTGTTGTATATTAACTTTGCAGCATGTGGTGATTAAATAGCTTTCAAAAGTTATGTCATAACGATGTATCGCAAGTCCTCGCAAGACAGCCCTCCGATTATTAATAATATCAAAATCTTAATATATATATATATATTATTTTTTATTTTATAATATTGTTAAAATGTTGCACGGTCGGTACAACAGATTACACTGATGGATCCCTTTTCCATTGGACTAACGGATTAGTCGCTCACGGCAAACATCAACGATGTCACGATTATGCCTTATTTTCAATAATTAATTACTCCTCCATTGCTCGATTATAGTTTTAGTGAAACAGAAATGAAAAGTAGCGAAAGCAAGGGGAATGTACGTAGAATAGACGCGATGCTGCCGAAAGTACCACGTCCGACTTCACTCACGTTTAGTCACTTTAATTAACGACCGTTTAACTTTTACATTTGCAGTTACAGTCCCGAAGAATTGCACGCGATGGTGGATTTAAAACCCGAGAAGAAAGAGGAAGACTGAACTCTTGAATATTTGGGACGTTGCAGCACCGAAGATGACTGTCGATGACGTTGATCGACCGCGACAACCTATTCTTCGGCTATGGATAATAAAAAGAAAAAACTATAAGCACGGGCTGCATTAAAGGAAGAAGAAGGAGAGTATTACATGTAAAAGAGAGCGAGTGAGCAAAATATACTGTTCGAGATAAGCGAAAGTGAGACATTGCGTGTGCATGCGAATGAAAAAAGAGAGAATGTGAGGCAGCAAGGATGTCCTGAGATTTTTCCTCCGTAGATTAAAAATATATAAATAAAAAAAGCAATGAAGGGTTAACGCCGAACGACGAATGTACGTTCCTTGACTACTTCCTCTTATTCTTCATATTCTTATTCTTCATCTTATTCTTCTACTTCTTCTTCTTCTTCTTCTTCTTCTTCTTCTTCTTCGTGTACTTCTTCTTTAAATGATAAAGAAAAAATGATGCAATGAAATTGAATCGGTCGTATGTACCAAAGACAGGGTCCGCATACCATTGGTGCCTCAAAGTAATAAGCTAAAATGTGAAATCTTTTTTTTTTCTCGATCAACGATCGATTTGCCACACAAGATTTTAGAAGATATTTATAGGAATAACTCGAAGACAGTTTATAGACACTTACAAACCCGCGCGCGCGCGCTCATACAAACACTCTGGAACAAATATATATATATATATATATATATATATATATATATTTGTTCCAGAGTGATGTGACACACACACATTCACTCTCTCTCTCTCTCTCTCTCTCTCGATCTGTCTTTCTGTGTCTTTCTCAGAACCGCACGTACACATATACACCTACCAAACCACCCACGTCAACATGCATATATAATGTATTATTTATGTATGCACATGCATAAATACCTGCGTACATGCATGCACAGCATACCCATATTTGTGTGTGTATGGACATATTAATATATTTTACTTATTGAGATACACACGCGCACACACGCGTGTATACAAAAATGAGCGCGCCACGCAACACATACGCGTACACACATATATACATATATTTTTAACGTTACGTGATTTTTAAGCACTGTGGCATCGATTCATCAATGATGCATCTAAATTATTTATGTCGCATCATTTTAATACGTGTGTTATATATCTCGTTGATAGATGACACAATATGTGATTGTTATGACTCTAATTTTAATACAATAAAATATTATACCAACATTATTATGTTTTATTATTGAAGAAAATTATCAATACTAAAATAATCGTGAAAATAGAACGCTCCCTTTAACAAAACGAAAAAAATACACACAACTACACACAAACGCGCGCGCGTACACGCATTTCTATATATATATATATATATATATATATATATATATATAATCTTAATTGCTATTTGAAAACTATTTGATTTGATTTATTTTACTCGATTAAATATATAATAAAATTAATAAATAAAGAAAAACAATTAATATTTAAAATTTTCTGGTTGAAAGCAATTAAGAAGATTTTCTAATTAAAAGAGGTGAAATTTAGTAAATTTAAATGTACATGATTGTATGCCTCATCTGTATTACCGACAGCAGCAAAGGGTAATGGTAAATGTCAATTTTCATTATCAAACAAGGTCGGTAACATGTAATAGTAGACTGCGTAATTATTGTATGCCCCTTTATATATATATATATATATATATATATATATATATGCACGCGCATATATATATATATATATATATATATATATATATATATATATACATGTTTAAATATATAATAAAATTAATAAATAAAGAAAAACAATTAATATTTAAAATTTTCTGGTTGAAAGCAATTAAGAAGATTTTCTAATTAAAAGAGGTGAAATTTAGTAAATTTAAATGTACATGATTGTATGCCTCATCTGTATTACCGACAGCAGCAAAGGGTAATGGTAAATGTCAATTTTCATTATCAAACAAGGTCGGTAACATGTAATAGTAGACTGCGTAATTATTGTATGCCCCTTTATATATATATATATATATATATATATATATATATGCACGCGCGCACCGGCAAACATAAATATACATATACATACATATACATATATATATATATATATATATATATTTATAAGCGCGCGCGCGTGTGCATGCACGCATGCATGTATATATATACGCATCCATACAAGGAAAATGCTTCTATTAAATGCAATTAGACTATAAGCGTTTCTTTTTTTTTCCATTTGTATCTAAAGCGTTGTCATGTTGTAAAGAAAATGTATTAAATATGTAAGTAAAATTTTTATAAATCATTAATTCTTGATGCTTGATGTTTAATTGAAAAGAACATTAATCGTAGTTTTTGCAGGTCGTCGGACTGTGCCGGCCAGTCGAATAAACACACATGCACACATACATGACGTACACACATAAAAATACGCGTGCAAAGCCTCGGTTTAAATAAGAATTCGCTTCTGTCCGTACTCGTCTGCCGAGATGGTCGTCTCCCCATCAGGGGCTACGTCATCTCGCTACTTCGTCGCCTTGGCAGTCAAATGCGCATAGTAATCCCTTTTACCAACCATTAGATGTTCAAATGAGTAATGTCGATCCCCTCGATCCTCACATATCCCCCCCCCCCCCCAA